GCAAACTGGCACCCAATGCAGCTTGCGGAGCAGAGGCGTTACATGGGCCCTCCTTGGGGCTCTCTTTACTGTTTAAACAGTGATAGGTGTGGTGTGATTACATGTAGGTGTGGGTTTACATGTGCTACAAAAAAGATGACTCTTCTAATACTAGAGCAGAGATTCTGGCTACTCCATTTGAGCTGTCGTGATATCAGCAGGGAAGCTTATAATTTAAACTGTCTTTTTCCAGGGAGGTGGAGGTGGTGGTGGAGCAGATGACGACCCTATTTCCTTTCACGGTGTGGCTTTTGTCAACTTAGTGCCTTTGCTGTATCCTGGGGTGAAGCAAATCCGGGGAGCATTCCGAATTTTTCCTTACCATGACAGTGAGGTGTTTGAAAAGGTAGGAGATTGAGTGGCATGGCTGATCGATCTGAACTCTTTCGCTTTAGATTTTATTTAAAATGGTTATATCCCACCTTTCTTCCGGGGAGCTTAAAGCTGAAAGCAATTTTAAAGAACGCATCATTTTTTAAAAATGTTTTATTTAAAATGAAACCTTCTCAGCATTAAAGAATACTGACGCCCTTGCTGTATGTCCAGAGGGTTCGAAGTGAGCTGTGTTTCTCAGATGTGAGCAAGAGGTGAGACCAAAGGTACAAGTTTATCCTGGGATGTGTTTTGTAATCATTTGATTTTTCCTTGGGTCTTCTGGGCACTGTCCCAGATCCTGTTAGACAAGCAGGAGACTGAAAACAAATCTAAGTTTTGATAATGGCCTAATTTGGGAGATAGGCCACATTTGGGAAGCCAGGATAGGTCCCCGTCAGACATTTTTGTCTAAAATGGGAGAAAATAACCATTTCATTTATCACTGGGAAGCAACAGTATAAAATGCCTGTTTATAAGCCAGTAATGTTAAAAAAGGAATGCAAGCACATTCTTATTGTATGAGTCCAGACTCCATCTACTCCTATTTTCCCTTCCTCCCTCCCTCCCTCCCTGTTCCATGAATACTTGATTTCTATGTTTTTAAGCCACATTTGCGTTCTCCCACGTGCCTGGATACTTCATAAATTGCAAAAGTGGTTCACCATTCTGTTCACAAAGGATTCCAGAACTTATTCTGAAGGACTTGTGCTTTTCTGGAATCCAGCCAAGGCAGAAGCAATGCATTCAACTGCCCCAAGAAAACACTGGAAGAAAAGGAAGTGGAGGGTTATTTCTCTGGCTTCCCCTCATCCCTCTGGCCACTCCTCATTTTGCTGAATATTTGCTGCATTTTTCTTGGGATTCAAACAGCATTATAGGTGTTTTCATGACAAGTAGCTCATTTTAGGAAAGGTTTGAGGGACAATTCTTCTGCTCTTTTTGATGGAATGTGTTGTGTTTTTCCATTAGCTCATCTTGGAGGACTCATGTGAAGTTTGAAGGCACCTGTCTGGCTACTATGAGACACAGAATAATGGATGACTAGAGAGGCCCTTAGCCTGGGAAGAGTTATTTCTTGGATCTTTCAGTAAGAGCCTAAGAAGAGACCTAAAGCTGGAACAGGCCAAGGACTTCTCTAGTCTGCTATTCTGTGTCCCCTAGTGCCTGGCCAGATGCCTTCAAGAAATTCACAAACATGGACAGGAGTGCAACAACCAGGGGTGTTGCAAGGTGTGTTTAAACAAAAGTCAAGATGAAACCACAATAGTATGATCAAAGCTCTATCTGGTTTTCATGCGTTTCACACATAACTTGGCCATTTTCACCATACCTTGTGGACACCCATGGCAACAACTTCCTTTTCCCCATAGCTCTCCAGTAGCTACAATTTAATGACTTCTGTCTGTGACTCAGGAGATCATAAAGCCACCAAGATCAGTAGCCATTGATAGCTCTCTCCTCTCTCCAGCTTCCTTTTGAATTGACAAAAGTGATGGCCGTCCCTATTTCTGTTGGATTATTTGATTATTTATTTACGTGTACTTTACTTTAAGCATTGCTTGTTTTACATTTCTACCATTACTTATTCTTTTTTGTATGGATGAGTGTAAACTGCCAGGAGTCGCTCCTCATTGTAGCGGGTTCAAGTCTAATCAATAAGTACATTTTTTAAGGTGATGAGTTCCACAGTTCAACTATGTCTTGTGTAAAAACGCCCTTTCTTTTGTCAGTCCTAAAATTCTTCAGCTTCCCATCCTTCTTAAAGACAGCAAAAAAACAAACCAAGCTCCTGGAATTGCCCTCCATGATTCCAATTAGAGAGCTTTTGTAATTAAACTAGCACTGTTAGATAAGCCCACCTTATTCTCACTCTGTGCCTCTTTTGTTTCAGACCAAGTGCCTCTTCAGCCTTTTTCGCGATGTGGGCCACCAGGCAGCTCTTAATAAGTTTGGGCCAGTGGGAATGTACAGCCCCCATACCAAAAGTATCCTTGGGAAGAATGTAAAAGATGACAAACCACCCAAAGAATTCATGCTGAGAAAGGTGAGGATGGCAAGAAAATCAGTGCAAGGAGATGAAGTCCTGTTGAATTTAGAAGGAAAATGTATTTTGCTCCTAAATCTGGGCTAGAGCTTTGTCTGTGGAGGATGCTCTCTAAATGAGAAGGTGTCTGACTATTAGTCATTGAAGACTTGATTATTACAACCTTTGCTTTCAGCAGCAACAAAATAAGGTCCCTGTATCAGCACTGCTTTATGACACCTTATTGTCTTATCAGCCAAACTTGTCAGCTCTTCAGATTATATTCAGAAAAAAAAATCAAATAATCCTTTAGGGTAGAGCAGTACAGCACATTGGATCTAATTCCATAAAGAGGAATCAGCACACAGGGATATGCGTGTGTCATCATATTACCAGTCTGCTGTTCTTTATACCAGCCACGCTGTCCCAGGAGAAATTGCAGCTGTTTTAAGAAGTTATAGACAGTTACAATGCTCGTGCATCTTCCTGGAATAGATGTCAAAGCACTATTGCAGCCCTAGGATTTTGCAACAGGACTAATTGTAGAATAAGATTCACATAAAAACAGAATGAGATGGTAAAGCCAATCGTTAAAAACCACACAGATTTAAAAACCAACACAAATATGAAAAGAAGAACCAGCAGTTTTAGTTTAAAGCCTTAGTCCAGTGTTGTCCAAACTTGGCCACTTTAAGATGAGTGGATTTCAACTCCCAGAATTCTCCAGCCAGCATTCTGGGAGTTGAAGTCCACTCATCTAAAAGGAAGTCTTGTACCTGGACAGCATTTTAGAAAGCTCCCCTTGTTTCATTTGGGGTGCCACCTAATTTAAAGTTGGGGAGGGGCATGAGCTGATGGACTAAGGCAGTGTTGTCCAAACTTGGCCACTTTAAGATGAGTGGATTTCAACTCCCAGAATTCTCCAGCCAGCATTCTGGGAGTTGAAGTCCACTCATCTTAAAGTGGCCAAGTTTGGACAACACTGCCTTAGTCCATCAGCTCATGCCCCTCCCCAACTTTAAATTAGGTGGCACCACAAATGAAACAAGGGGAGCTTTCTAAAATGCTGTCCAGGTACAAGACTTCCTTTTTTTGCTTCCTCTTCAGCCATCCAATATTATAAGAAAGGACACCTCCGAGATCACAGTGGACACTGCTGTATCTGTATGCCAGAACTTGGAAGGACAGGTAAATATATTGTTTAAAAAGATGTCAGGTAGTTCTGTAGATACCACCTGGACTCTCAAGTCTGGATCGTGAGTCACACGAAAACTGTGAATGAGTGCTTCTGAATATGCTCAAAGTGCATTTCTCTCTCTCTTGTCACTAGGTTACTTCTGGTGTGCCTTGCAGCAATGGCTTGCCATTAACTTAGCTGTTCTCCAGATGTTTAGATTTAAGTTCCCAGAATTGAAACCTAATGGGTTTGGGCTAAACTTCTGGGGAATGTGTCTATGGAAATATTCTAGGATTTGGGCCATGCTCCTGAAGAAATCTGAAATGCTTTCTCTTTCCAGCAATATATAGAAAGTGGAAGTTTTCTTGTGATAGAGTTTACACTGGATAAAGCTTTGGTGCCCAAGCGTCTGCCAGAGGAACTTGCCAGCCGGTGAGTGCAGTAGTGATATATATAAGTGGGCTTGGGTCAAAGTCTGCTTTTGAGGCTCTTGTGCATCTTTGATAGTGCTGCTCATTCTCTGTCAGTGGAAGGCATTATTCTTACTCATCCCATTCTTTCCATATGTTGGGCCATATCAGCCATTACAAAGGTTGAATGTCCTCCTGAATTTTGATCTCATCATAAGCCCACAGGATTCCAAGGACACAGAAGGAAGGGGTGGTCATCCAATAGCATATTGTATCAAACTGGATTTACAGGACCTTGGAGAGCTCCAACACACTGTTTGCTCCTACAAAGCCTACAATTCAGCTGAGTTAACCCTCTACAAAAATTTCTGTGGGGAGACATTAACTCAGGTTGAAACAACTTGCCAACACAATCCTTTGTGTGTTAATTCTGCAGCTGATTCTGTTAGGTTTAATAGAACTGACTTCAAAGTAAATTATGAACGGGATTGCAAAATTAATTGTCAGATTATCAAAACAATCCTTCCTTCCTTCCTTCCTTCCTTCCTTCCCCCTCTCTCTCTCTCTCTCTCTCTCTCTCTCTCTTTCTTTCTTTCTTTCTTTCTTTCTTCTAACATATTCAGAGTCAAGGAGATGATTCCTCCCCACCCTCAACTCCCTCGAAGGACTGCAGGAGCCATGAAGGTATGAAGTAAAGCCTATTCAGTAGCAATTTGTGTATTGCATTTTTTTAAAAAAGGGAAATCTTTGCCAGTCTGGTCTAGTTTTTGTGTCAAGAACACCCACTATGTAACCTAAAGAGATTGCTCAGATATGCATAATTTTTCCTATTGTGTATAAATTATTTGTATTCCTTTTTGGAGAGCTAAGAAGAGTACCCCCATCCCCTATTCTAGCTGCTGGGGTTTCAGTAGGCATTGCCCTCCTATGTCTGCTTCCAAGCATTTCTTTAAAGCTTTAGAGGCTAGAAACTTCTTAATTTAAAAATAACAACCACCACTGAGATTCTCTGGAAGCCCTAACATCACATTAAGGAGAATCTTTATTCTCGTATGCAGTTACACTTGTTTTGATCAATGCTTAAAATGAGAATGCCAATTCCTCACTCAGATTTTATTCTCGCACAGAGATAAACTTTGTGAGGAAAGTGAGGCTAGGTCAAGTCACCCAGTGAAGTTCATGGCTGAACTGACCCCAGTTCTTTGTTGTACTGGTCTGACTCTGCAAACACTATGTTATTCTGTCCTTGATTTGAAAAGATGGTAGTTCCTAACTCCTGGCACCAAGCATCTGCTTATTTTTATTTTTATATTTATATAGTTATATTATGAAAGAAGTTTTTCCACAGAATAAAAACAATACAAAATTTAGGTTAAAGATATGAGAAATAGAGATACGTGATAGAAAGGTGAAAAAGAAAGAAAAAGAAATAGAAAAGAAGGAAAAAGGAAAAAAAGAATAATTAAAAAGTGGCTTCCAATCTTTACAGCAGTTATAAGTACATTTATATTTTACCCTCTGATGTAACCTTAGAGAGACAAAGTTTTCTTCTTTCCATAATCTGGCCTTTCTAATCGTGAAATCCATAAATCATCAGTTCATTTTTTTCTTTTTTCAGCAAAAAGTCCACAAGGAGTTTCCAGTCACTAATAAATGTAGTAGTTGATCTTTCCTAAGCAAACAAGTTAATTTTGCCACCTCTGCTAGTTCCATCATCTTCACCAACCATTCCTCTATTGTGGGTAGTTCAGACTCTTTTAATTTTTGCTCATACAGTTGTCTCACAGCAGTGATCTTATATAAAAATAATCTTCCATGGCTTTTTTCTACTTGTCTGTCCATTAATCCCAACAAAAAAAAGTTCTGGTTTCAGCTGAATCTTAGTCTTTAAAATTATTTGTACCGTATATGTATTTGAACGCAAAATTTTCTGGCTTTTTTGCAAGTCTACCAAACATGATAAAATGACCCTTCATGTTGTCCACATTTCCAACATAAATTTGAGGTACCTTTATGCATTCTAGATAACTTTTCTGGAGTCATATACCAACTACATCATTATGTAAAAATTCTCTTTTAGATTATAACATAATGTGAATTTCAGTCCTTTCAACCATGTGTTTTCCCACTGTTCCAACAATATATTATATTCAAAATTCTTAGCCCATTTCACCATGCACTCTTTCACTTTTTCAACCTCCATTTCAAATTTCAGCAAGAGTTTATACATTTTGGCAATTACATGTTCATTATTTGTACATAATTCAATTTCAAATTCTGTCTTCTGTCACTCGATTTATTTATTTACTTATTTATTAGATTTGTCCCCGCCCATCTCCCCTCAATGGGGGACTCTGAGCGGCTCACAACTCATTAAAAACAACAAATAAATATACAATTAAAAGCCTATATCCACAGTTACAAAAGGTAAAGGAAAAAGTCCAGGAGGCCAATGGTTCAGGGCAGCAACGCGAGGCCTCTAAGGGGCTAGCCAGCCCAATTCCAAATATCCTGTTATCTACATTGAATCTTTCTCTTAGCTGTGCATATGAAAACCATTGAAAACTAAAGCCCTCTGCAGCCAATTGCTCTTTTGATTTCATCTTATATTCTCCATGTTCCTGTTCTAACAGCTCTCGATTAGTTAACAGTTTTTCTTTACCTACTGTTTCCTTCCTGTAAAATGCTTCTTGCGCTGAGACCCATAAAGGCATTTTTGGGCACAGTCTGGATTTATATCTATTCCATATTCTCAATATGGTATTCTGACATAGTGATTTTTAAAACTACATTAACCTTAACTTTATTGTACCATAGAAAACCACGCCTCAGATCGTGCCCTTCTAATGCTAAAATTCTTTTATTTCTCAGCAGCACCCACTCTCATCCACACCAAACCACTGGCTGCAAAATACAGTTTTAAATTAGGCAATCCCAATCCTCCTCGTTCCTTTGCATCTTGGAGAACTTTATATTTAATCCTTGGCTTTTTCCCTTGCCATACTAAACTAAATATATCTTTCTGCCATTGCTTAAATGGTACATTGGTTGTCAAAATAGGTATTGACAAAACATCATTCTAGGCAGTACATTCATTTTTATAGCAGAGATTCTCCCCAACAGTGACAATTGTAGCTTTTATTCAGAAAGACTTCGCCAGTCAGAAATCACTGCTGGCTGCCGTTCACTGCCGCAGCGCTGTCTCCATTCCTTCGAAGACATCTAGCCCACCATAGAACCTCACCCGGAAGTTGTTACCCAGCATCTGCTTTTGACCTCACCCCAGTACTCAGCCCTCTTTCCACACCTAGATGCTCTTTTTGTCTGGATATGCCAGCATCCGCTTGTACTAGACTTGGTGGTTTGGCGGGGGGGGTTGACAGTGCAGGCAGTGGGGGTCAACAGCCAGAAGAGCTTGCCAGCAGTATGCCCCCTTCTCATGGAGCAGTTATTTCCAACAACAAGCTCCACTTGTTGGAGCTTCATTTAAAGGTCTTCCTGGTTTCTTGACTTCTTTAGGCTGTAGAAGATTACCACATGCAGATCACCAGCATTGCTGCATCTATCCTAGATGAATACCATGAACTATTTGGAAGGCAGATAGCTGAAGGGTTTGGTGTCGATTCTCAGACCCTGGAAGATCAGAAGTGTCAACTCAACTATGAGCTCAACACCTCAGGGAAATATTTTGCCTTTAAGGAGCAACTCAAGGTATATACAGGTTTTGTCAGGATGTGGCTCTCTCTCTGAAAAAATAACATGTTGTTGGAGAGGGTTGAATGGCATTTTGAAATGTCACATTTCCGCCTCATCTGACTCTTTTTTTAGCGTTTCAGAAGTCCCCTTCCTTTAGATCTGTAGCGGCTCAGCAGGCAATTGGAATCTGTCTCATGAGTCTGTTGCTCCCTCCCTTCCAAATGTGTTGGGTCCTTGTGATTGAGTCTTTCTCTTCCTTACAGCATGCTGTTGTGAAAATTGTGCGGGAGAAGTACTTAAAGACAACTGCCTTTGAGAATCTGGACCAACTCCAAGCTTTCCTAAGTGAGCTGTATGTCTACCTGGTGGATCAGATGCATGTTGCTTTGAATCAGGTAGGTGACTTTTGGAAGAACATGCCGTCCTGTTTTACTGTTGAGGCTATTGGATGGTCTATGTCACAGTCAGGGTAGGATGATCTAATCCAGCTTTTAGTTTGCAACATAAACATCTGTGACTCACATGGTGATGGTGAAAATTCAAGATGTGTGTTTGTCTGTATAATGTTATGAAACTTCCAAGGAGATAGGGAATGAATATATTTCTGCCCATATGGTAGGTAGGGATTTGCAAAATGTTTTATAATGGAACAGTCTGACTCTGACTTAATTCATTCTGATTGTCCTGGAAGTGATCTAACCTTGAAATGGGCCTGTTTTGAGATCAAAACGCTCAGCACAGCCCTTTTCAGCATCAGAACCATCTGTTCCAACATGTCTTCCACATGCCTGAGGGAGGTGTGTCCAACCTGATGCTGTAGATCCACATGTGTCCCTCTGAGTCTTTGTAAGAGGAGAACCATATTAGTCTGTAATAACCAAAAAAAAGTTACAATACCAGTGCTGACCCATATTAAACTCTTCCATGTGAATGCAGGTCTACCTGGGCCTGACAAGCCCACCTTTTCCCACGGCTCCCATATGTATTTGAATCCATGTTGCAAAATGCCTTCCAAGTGGTGAGTTGATCTCTGCTTTCACTGAGCTAGACTGAATGGCATTTTCATTATTGTCCTGTCCTGGCCAGGTGCTGTCCCTCCAGACTCCAAGCCCTCCACCTCCCATTTATACCACATTGGAGCAGCTCCAGCTCTTTGCTCGAGAAGCCCAGGTCAATGGAGACTATGCTCTGGCATCAACTTACTATCAGGAGGTAAGGGAACTCCACTTTCTCTCCAAGCAGAACCACTGTAAGAGCAAAGAGCTTTCTGATTTCTAAGAATGACATTAGGATGCTGTAGTTGTTTCTGTTGTAGTATCTCACTGATGGCCATAGTCTGGGGAAAGAGCCACAAAACTCTTATGAAATTTATGTTGCAATGCAAATTCTGCCCCTTTTGAACTTCCTGTGGCCTGCGGTTGATGCCAGCACTCCTGAACCATTGGCAGTTCTGCCAATTCCTTGCTACCGATATGAAGTGTCTAGATAGACTCTTATTTAAGAATTCCTGGAAGAATGCTGCGCTAGGAAGATGAGAAGGCCGAGATAAAGTCAGATAAAGATCATTTAGTTGTGCTAATTAATGGGCTGATGAACTATCATGAAGTTGACATTCTATTTCTAACCTCCAGATCCTTCCATTCAAAGCTTTCAAACAGAATGCTAACTTATCTGATGGTATTTCTGTCCCCAGAGGTTGTCTCGAAACCCCCAGGATATCCAGAGCTGGCTGGATTACGGAGCTTTCTGTCTGCTGACTGAAAATAACCTCAAGGCCCAGGAATGTTTCCGTGAGGCTGTTGGACTGGATGCCAATCACCTGCCCAGGTACCACTTAGGCAAGAATTGTGGAGTCCTGATCAGACATTAACTGTGTAGCAGCAGGGCTCTCACTAATATGTGAAGAAAAAAAAAAAGAGAGATGTGTGTTGTGTAGGATATGTATGTATGTCCTACCACATAGTGTAATGTGTGTACGTATATGTGTGTGTGCGTGCGTGCACGTTCAGCAGACAGTATGTTGTCAAGTTACTATACGTGTGTCATGCACCCTCTTCAACCTAATGCCCTCCAGATTTGTTAGGTCTGCACGTCCCATCATCTCATACATCTGGAAGGTATTTAAGATGTATTTCACTACAGGTTTTTGAATAAACCATAACTGGCTGATTTGAATTAGCCACAGCATGCTAAGTGATTATAAACTGTAAAGTTTCATATTATTGAAACTTTTCGTCAGCCGCAAGGTCCCCTTCCTGAAATTGTGAGGAATTTTGTTTGAATCTTAGAGAAGGTTCAGTCTATTTTGAGATTACCAATTACAATACTGTTTCTCAACCAGTTGCTAAAAATTAGATTGAACGGGAGCAATGAGAAACCGTATACTATATGTCTTAAAATTTTTACAAGATTGTCTGATGTTTCAGATCTCATGTTGGTGAAAACTCACTGTGTTCTGAAAGCATACTAAACCCTTAAGCCTGAGCTAATAAAATATAGTTGCGCTGTTCATGTAATATGCCATCTCAAACAAAAATATAGTTTAGCTTTACATAGCTAGCTTTACATAATGTAGTAAGAGATTGGTTGGGTTTCCACTACACATGAATTAGTTGATACACAAATTATCAACTCAGTTTTAACTTCTTCTAGTGAACCCAGCCTGTGAGTTGGATTCAGATTAAGTTACTTGAGACAACCTAGTCATGAGTTCAATATCATTCATTTCATTGGGGTTAGGGAGGCAAATATTTGAATCTGGGTCTGGCCTGAGTTTTAAAAAATCTCATGGCTCCTCAAAGGCTAGCCCTACAATCTTGTTCATGTTTAGTTGGATGTAAACTATGGAATTCCATGCTATTAAATGTGGTATTGGCCCTCAGCTTAGATGAAAAGGGAGTAGATGGATTTGTACAAAGCATGCTGCTAGTCTTGATGGGCTTCTGGTACCTTCAGATCACAGGAAGCATATTTTAAATATCAGCTGTTGGAGAGCAACAGTGGAAGAGACTTCCTCTCCTGTTGTGCTTGTGAGCCTCCACAACAGTTGTTCATTGTGCAATGCAAGATGCTGAGTGAAATTAGTTGGCACTAACAGGACTCTTCTTATTTTCTTAACTATATCTCTGACATCAGTGAGGCTTACTCCCCAGTACATATAAATACTGAAGTGGGAATGAGTGCTGATTTAGAACAGATTGGGTTTTCCTTCTTTGGGGTGTACTGTGATAGGAACAGGTCTAGGCTGTGCTGTAGAGGATCGTTCCTACTTAGCTTTGTTGTTTGCTGTTTGTCCAGTGTGCTGTTGTGCGGGATCATGGCTGTGATGCTGCAGAATTATGAAGAGGCTGAGGTCTTTTTTGAGGATGCGACCTGTGTGGAGCCAACTAGTGTCCTGGCCTGGACCATGTTAGGTATGAGGCTGGCTAATTTGGCTTGGAAATGTTGATTGTCAGGGTGTTGACACCATCAGCACTGGGTGCAGCTCTCTGTTTAGTCTACAGGTAGGCCTCACTTAACGGCAGTAATTGGGACCAGAATTTCTGTCGCTAAGCAATATGGTTGTAAAGCACAATGTCATGTGACCACATTGCTTAGCAACGCAATCCTGGCAATCCCTGTTCAGCAAGGATCATGGGCGGTTATGTGAGGACCTCCTCACAACTTCCTGCCGGCTTCCCACAAGCAAAGTAAATGGGGAAGCCAGTAGGAAGTTGCAAGTCTTGGGCAACTTGCAAGCAGGCTGGCGGGCAGGTAAGTGGCTTCTGTGGAGTGTGGCAGGGGGGTGCTGCAGGTGAGCGCACACTACAGAGTATGAGATCCCTGGGATCTCGAACTCCATAGCCGGGCTCCTTGGGAGAAAAAGTGGTGGGAGCAGGAGCAACTTACCAGAGCAACCTGCGACCTTCCCTGTGGGCTTCCCCATTGACTTTCCTTGTGGGAGGCCAACAGGGAAGGTCACAAGTGGTGATTATGTGACCACAGGTTGCTGCAACTGTCATAAGTGTGAGATAGTTGCCAAGCACCCAGATCACAATCACATGACCGCTGGGGTACTGGGACAGCCAGAACTTTGAGAACCAGTCATAAGTACCACTCGTTCAGCACCGTCATAACTTCGAACAGTCACTGAATGAGTGGCCATTAACCAAGGACTATCTGTATAGATTCACAGGGTCTGAAGAAGCCTTTGGTAAATTTGTTCTCAGATTAATTGCTACATTGATGGAGATTTGGTTTATAGCTCTCCACTTCCTTGGATATAAAAGCTGGGCATAATCCTTGTATTCTGGAAAGGAGGGCGAGAAAGGGAAACCTTTGCCTTATTCCTTTCTGGGCTGAAGACCCGCAAAGGTAGGAGTGGACAACCTTCAGCTCTAAATACACAGGTACTGTTGTTCAAAAACAGCACCGTCAAAACTGTAGTGTGGACCTTAAAATAGTCTTGGTTTAAAATATACGTAAAGGATATTTTGTTTATCTTTTATGTATATTTTAATTTATATTTAAATGAATTTATTAAATGAATTTATTAAATATTTCAGCTCACCATTGTAGACAAAACCTGAACATCCAGTCTCTGTGCCTGCATGTGATATAGTCCCAGCCACTCAGTAGTTCACCTGACCCACCACTTTTCTGTAAAAATAGAAAGTGCCACTCTAACCACCAGAACACTTGCCCACTGCTGCTTTATGGCTAGTGGGGATGTTGGTAATGGTTGGTTCCGAGGTGGAGAAGGATTCAGGAGGCAGTGTATAAATAACCTGTTGCAAACTCCCCCATTATCAGCG